CCGTACGTTTATCAGCCTTTGAAGTCTCCTCGCGTCTTTGAAGTCAATGATCAGTCGTCGATCACTGAAGAGGTACATAATTGGCTCGCAGAAATCTTGGAAAAATTTTAAATATATCCAATATAATCCTAGCTATCGTCGCAGATAAATATCGAGCTTTATAATTCCAAATGCACACATCTACCAGGCATCTTTGATCGTTTCTTTCTTCTTATTCATTGTTAACAGCATGACGCTTAAATACTGAAGAGCAATCGTAAGAGAATAAGTTGGAGTTGCTAGTTGACAGTGGGCGATGGAGTTGGGCAGATGATGGTTATACAGAGATATACTTTAAACTTGGTTTAACGATTCAAAAAGTCACGAACACGTTGAAAAACGTTTATCACGATCTCCGCACACGTTGGAGCTCGCGTTAATTTGAGAGACGTCTTCAAGGTCGCAAAGACGTTGAACGCGTCGCGAAGAAGTTGTCGCTTTATGGACCCGCTGCGAGGTTTGCTCGAGAAGATAATGGGTCCCTCTCGTACGCGTTGAATCATCTCGAGCGCCATCAGACCCGTCTGCAATCTCGACACTTTGCATCTGTGCCCAATATTCCGACGGCGGAGGGTGGCCACAGTCATGGCAGTCTTATGTCTGCGACCGCGACGACAGCTCACCTACGCGGGCCACGATGACAAACGCTGGCATCTAAACAAAGGGTCTCTGGATATACGCGCCGCAGACACGCAATTTCCGTGGCATGTAAATCGCGCGAAATGAATTTCTGCCAATCACGCACGTGCGTCAACGGCGCGATCATTGCTAACCAGACTGTTTGCCGGGGTATCGCTCACTCGAAAAAAATGCAAGCTCTCCGGGTGAAATTCGGTAAACGTCACCGAACACGCATCGGAGACAACGTAAATAATTCAGCGCGTGCAATGTTGTAATATTCTGACAATGTTCTGGAAAATCTAACCGACTACATAGATCACTGGATATCGGTGTTACGTAAAATTCCGTTTCGTAGCTCCGCGTGAAACGGGTTGGATACATATTTGACAGCTTAATTATCTTTCATCTGGGATGTGACACACACGGAATTCTGGATTATGCGAAGAAATTTAGCTGCGTTTTCAAGTATCGAGAAAAATTAATCCCTCCGTAAAGTGCACTGACAATGAAATTTAGAAATCGACAGGTTCCATGCGTTTCTAAATTTGAAACAGTTCGTCATTTCCATTGCTTCGATTCTACCGTAATTAAAAGAATGAAAAGCATGAAAAATACGAATTTTCGTAGAAAAAAAATTCGAATAAAATAAGCTGCGTGCTTACTATTAGCTTTACTTGCAATTATCACGAGAAGTACACACTTGGGTACACCGGCCATTTCGTTGCTACGTGTCAGCAAGCTTTCTCTCGAACAAAGTCTTCTTACAATGGCCGCGTAGGACACAGACTGCTAGGGGGTAACATGGGGTTATCAAGACTGTTTTTTTCCGCGCATTCATCCGAGCTGTCGATTCGAGTCGCACGATTCGCACATGCCTGCTCGATGGCCCGACCCGTCGATGCTTCCGTGCCCGGTGATTGATGTTCGCCGTCGTTCCACAGACACGACTACATAAATCAAAAGGCGCCCTTACTCGCGGGAACCCTTTTCTTGTCGCTCGCTTCCCTTTCCTACTCTTTTTACTTCGCTCCACTCGGTAAGGCGGCTGGATGCGTTATCAAATCCGCCGATGACAGACGAGAACGTATTAAATACCGAACAGGACGAGCATCGATTGTCGTCGTCGATGCTAGATGTCGGATGAAAAGGGTGCGAAGTAAACGAACGAGCACGTGCATCATCCCCGAGGCCCCTCGCGATTCAGACATGTTTCGCGATCGAGCCTCTCTTTCTTCCCCTGCCCCTTTCCCTCCCCAATTATGCATCCCTGGGCGCTTGTTCTCCGAGCATTATCCGCTTTTGCGAGGGTACCCGCATGCCTGCTGCTGACAGTTTCGTCGCGGAAGCTGTAATTTTGAAAGGTAAGGCATAGGGCAAGAATAAGTCGCGCTTAGCTCCGAATAAACGAGCGTTCTTTTATCGCGAGAGCAGCGAAGGAAATTGTTTGACTTTGTTTCAAAGGAACAAACAATTGTTCAAACAATTGTTTCCTCAATTTGTAGGAATTTTCATATGGACCGAATGGTTACAACGATGACCCGGTGCCCTGTTTGTCTTTTATTGCGAGAAGCACATTGAGGATTCTTCTTAATTCTCATACTCCTCGAATGAAAGTGCCTACCTTCGAAGAGATGTGTCGAATGTACTAATTAGAAGATTTAGAAACTAATTTCTGCTTGGTAATAGACTTCGGAGACCTATGCGAGAAGCTACAAATTCGAATATTATACGTTGCACGTTGTTACAATTGTGGAAAAATGAATTGCATTTGAGACAATTTGGATAATAATAGTATACGCCGATGAAAAGACAAAGTAACAATTAATCACTCGCGATTGTAATAAATGTACACGCTACAAGTGACGCAGCTGTTGCAACTGCTCCTCATTGTAGCTCATGCAAGGGATGCTAAGGTACAAAAGGGAAGATTCATCCGCTTCTCGCAACTCTTACTGCTTTCTACCCTCTTTTTACGTCTACATGGTATTCCTTGTCAAAAATGATGTATCGACAGGAACTGTAGCTACGTACAATAATAAATAGACGTACGGAATAAATGTACACGATTGAAACGGGTTGTGAGTGATTGAAATCTTGTACTACTAATGGCCTGTACACAGGTGGCACTCTATTTGCCGTAAAATTGCGTGTTCGAGCAATAATAAAATCACGTATTCAGCTTTAATTTGACCAGCGAATTCTCTCTACAGTGGTGAGATTTCTCTCGACCTAAGTTCTCAAGTTCGCAGGGTTTGGAATCATTTCGAAAAATTTCAAATCATTTCAATTACGTTTACACTATTGAAACTTTCGTACAGATTCTATACAACGTAGACAGACGTCTTATTCCACGCCATGTTGCTCTTGCGTAGAAATAAATTTTACATCAAATCGATTTCGTTTTATCATCTATCGATTTCGGTTATACATTCGTAGTACGAGGAAGTTTTCACAAGAGTGGTTGCACTGCACAGCAGAGTAACCTGCGAAAACGTGTTTTGCGGTATTCATAGAAACCTCAAGCGTAATTGACACTAAATTTTTCACTCGGACAGTCATCGGTGACGTTTCGTGGATGCTGCGAATAGGTGACGGTAGTACCCAGAAAACGTTTCATGGGTGACAGTACTACCGAAAGGGTTAAAACATTTGCTACGAGACAAAAAGAAACACCAAACGATGAACGATACTGTCCCAAAAATCACAAATCAAACCCTACCCTGCATGGTATCCTCCTCTCATGACCAATCCGACTCGTATTTGTTACCCTTAAACGTGGCTGAAGATCACTGCAGCCCTTCACTTGGCTCCACATCTGCACGCAGTTCTGAGACAAAGGAAAGACTATAAAGCCTTCTGCAAACGCGACACCCAGCGAGATCGTTTTTGAATATTAAGCGTTATTACGGGATCAGAGGTAGGGTGCCTCGGGATCATCGATCGCGACGGCAGGGACACGAATGGCAGAGTCGAAAAGCAGGAGAGCTTTTACACGAATTGGCTGAATTCCAAGGACCAAGTCGGCAGAAGGAGGCCCTTCTTTCTTTGTCCTTGCTAGCTTCCTTTCATCTCTGACCGGGATCTCTTTTAGCGAGTCGAAGATCTGAGGAATAGTTGAGAATTTAGCCGATAGTTGGACGCGGCATTTCATTCCGCTGCAAATTCCGCGTAACATATAAGCGACCGAAATCGCGGCGGTTCAGACGAAATCTTTGCCACGGGAATCAAACGCAACGAACATTCGGGGAATTCTTCTAAGCGCGACACGCACTGGCACAACGGTGCTCGCGGCAGGGTGCAGCCCTGGATTTTGTTTACGAACGGTGCACGTCGAGCGTCGAACGCGAAACATCGTCTACGTTTACGAATCGGTGGATCTCTGAAAGGAAAACTTTCGAAGCAGGATGCCGCGTGTTCATTTCCTCGCGAAAATTCCGCCGCTATAGTCCCCTCAAAGATTTCGCCTCTGCGTCGATGCCGCCGCTCGAAAATTCCTTTCCAACTCCCGGCGAAGAATTTAAATTGGAAGTCATATCGTATTCATGATATTCCACGGATTACGGCGCGATAGGGACATGGTACTTATGAACGGCGATTTTTTGACATCGTACGGTGTGATCGGGATACCTGAACAAGCCTTCGCACGGTCCTTGTATTTAGGATATCGTTTTCGATGCTGCAAACCTGCTTGCTAGAGCCATGCCTTTTCGAATAAACTAGATTTTTAATTTCCTGGAAAATTCTTATATCTTAAGGAAACTATACTTGAAGGAATCAGGGAATCTCGCAAATTCAGTTGCTTTAAATATTTTAATATTTTTGGGGTCATAGAAGAAAGTTGAGGATATTAGGTGAATCTGAAGAATAAGAATAAGGTAAAATCTAATAACGTAATGGAATAGCGAATTAAACTTGAAATATGGCAAGTTATTATTCTCCAGCTTCCCAAGAAAAATTTGCTATTGTTCATGCAATTATCTCATTTATCGGAAATTATTTCTATGCCACTGACAACTGAATGTTAATGCCTTATCGATATACGAATGGAATACGATCATGCACGTAATACACACGTGAAAATCTATCCAGTCGTTCACGAATTATGTATTTTATAGGTTATGTATAGGTTCTACAGAACATTTCGTAACTGCACCGATGTTCTGCACGTAATGATACATTACGTTAATCACGATAATATTCCAAGAAATAATTATAGAAGTCACTGAACGACGCAACTGAGAGGCGCAGGTGCAGCTTATTATATTCGGCATTGTTTGTTAAGTAATAGATCGCTATTCATCAGCTTTGTATAAATATCTCGCCACTTCCTCGATAGAAGCTGTAGTACGAAGCAATCATGAACTTCAAGGTGTTGTGCTTACTCCTCGTTAGTGTCAGCGTCTACAACGCTGTTTATGCATCCGCCAGCTCGAAATCGGTAAGCTTTTACAATAAATCCTCTGCTTCAGTCTTTCTAATACTTGCATTTTATTATCTCGATACAGAACAACGATAATGCAATCGTATTTTATATTAAAAAACAAAAGCCACTTGTCCGTTTGCAGCTCTTGAAGTTGGATTGTCAATGCCCGAATTAAGTCAGCTTCAAAGGCCAAAGGCAACTTAAATATTTGTATAAATTTCCAATTTATATAGTGGATGATTTAACATCGTGTATATTGTATTGCATGTACGTAGCAAAATTTCAGTATCTTCTTTAAAAGATCCGGGTATATTCGGTTTCTCTGGAACGAAGAGGCATAGAACCATCGCCAAGGTATTGCGTTTGTTCCACTTGCGATATTTCACGAACAACGAAGCGTAAGAATTCGTCACAGCTGCACACGCGGTAGTACAAAACTTTCCAACGAAGCTATCAACAATAAATTTCAATATCGAGCCTGACAGTTGCTCGTCGAAGCTTTGCTACGTCAAAGAAATTTGCCAAATTGTCACGCACATTGCCATTAATGTAGGGGTATGTTCGATTGGCGATATGAAGAATAAGAAATATTACTTTATTCTAACACATATATATTTATTGCGAGCTAAACGAGACTAGGAGGAAAGTATAATTATAAGATTAGACTAATAACTGATCTATGATTACGTGATTGACAGACACTCTCATGTTCTACCTTCAACTATGCACACTAAAATCCGCCTAAGACTCTCTCTCTTTCTAACTGATTCTTCATAAACTCTGTATAAGACTGTCTATCAGAACTGACTCCTAACTGACCCTAAGACTACCTTCGCAATCTTCCGTCTTGTACACGCAGTTTCTCAGTGGGCCAGGTACTTCAACCACTCAGACGCATTCCTAACATTCGCTCATTGTTCCTACTGGGTTCAGTCATAAACGACCCGTCCATACTCCTTCCACATGCACTTCAGATGACACCCTGAACGTTCGAGCTGAATCCGAGGTCTGTTTATTACTCCTCATCTTCGAGGAAGGTCCAGGTGTTCCCATACACTTACTCTAGAATCCTAAAAATATTGTACACACGTGAAACTATACTATAATATTATGAATTTATTTCAACAGATAATAGATGCTGGCGTATCTATACTTAAGGGTGTACTAGGTGGACAAAGTTCTTCGAATTCGGATTCATCCGAGTCGAACGAACAATCGTTGAGCTCCAACCCTCTGGACAAACTGCTCCCGTCGCTTTCCAGTGTAGACTGGAGCAAGGTGAACGCGTCGCTACTAAAGATTTCGAATGTACCGAATATCTCCTCTTCTCTGACACCCGCCATTCAAGAGAGTATCCAGCTTGCTAGAAACCTTACGGTGCGCGCGTTGGGTGGCACGAGTGACTTGACCAACGCCATTCAACATGCAACTGCGAACGCGATTCGCGACGCCAGACCTGTTCAGGCCCTATATGCCTTGAGCAACACTATTCTGAAGATATTCGCCAAAGTAGCTGCCAACACGCCAGAGGGCACTTCTCTGCTTGTAATCCAGGATGGCTTGGCTATAGTCGCAATTATCGCCAAAGCTCTGACCCCTATTATCTTGGCTGCCCTGGCCTCGGGTTGATATAATCGGAAGTTGCACGAAATTTTAACGTATCTATGCTTAAGAGAAAATGTAACTAACGCTGTAACTATCAGTAGATTGGAAATATGTAGTATGGTAATATTATAATTGAAAAAGTTGTTTTGCTTCACGAGCCTTTGTCTCCTAAATACAATTCATTTGTACCTAAATGCGTGGTGTTTCTTCGTGTTAGAGTCGAGTTGATGCGATGTTACTTTCCTATGTGTTGCGAAACTGTGCAGTCTTGAAAAATTTGGTTTAAGCACAGACATATATCGTATTACGCGGTTTTCTACCACTTTTCATTACGCATTTACGCAGCCACGTGTTGCTTCTTATGCTTCTAAGATATGGATGCAAACTGTGTTCCAGTTTGTTCAACTGCTAAGTTATTTATTCTTCCTTAAGCACCGTTCCTAAGTGTTTCAAAGTCAAGTCGAATCTACGAAGTATCTCACGCGATAATTTTAAGTAAGAACAAGGGAAGAAGATTGTATCGTTGTTTCAAACAAATATCTTTAAAATCGCGACACTTAATGATTTCCAAAATGATACTTAATCACCGATGAGATCAGAAAGAGTTCTTAACTTCTATCAAATTCGGCTCAGCTCGATTAAAGAAGATCTGCAACACGTTTTCCCGTTATTAGTCCACCTTTTATTCATTCGACACGTGCGATGCACTCGTTCACTTTAGAATACCATAAAGGTACCAAGGAATTTTAGCTGAGAGCCCCAGGAATCTGCCAAAATGCTGCATCGGAAATCGGTATTAAAATTCGTCAGGAACGCCTCACTCAATGCCGAAGTAACGAAAACGGAAAGGTAAACACGGTTTTCACGGGCGTTGACCGATTCGTGCTTGCCGGTTCTCCTAACAATCTGTTCCCACCTCGTAAAATTGCCATCGTGCGTGCATAAAACATGAGGAGACAACGTTCGGGCACGCAAGGAGTGCAACGCCGCGACGCGAATCTACACGTGAAAATACAGGGGGTGGATGGCGTAGATCGTACGTATGTGGTAGCTCGCGGCGTCAATGCCTGCAGGGCTGTCGATGAAGACTCCAGAGGTTTAGGTTCGACGACAGGTTCGCGGGCGGTAGCAACACGGAGAAAACGAATGGCGCGGGAAAAGGAAAGGGTCGTTCGAGCGCATATTTCCACCTTGCCGCCTCCATGGTGAGCGCTAAAATACATTTTCCTACGAAGTGTCGTCACGGGAGGGCCTCCAGCTGCTGGTCGTGATATTCTACATGCGTAATGCTCACGCGGATATTTCCATACATAAATTTCATCCGGAAGAAAGTGGGTGGCTGTGCGGTTGCACGTCGCCGCTGATGACGCCGCGTCTTCGCGACGTGCTCGAGAACCCGTTGGCTGATCGTGTTTTCCGCCAGTTACGACGATCATTATTCTTTGTTTCGCGACATTCTTGAATGGAGCCTTCTGTTCCGTTCAGACAGAAACTACGGACGGGGGTTGTCAGCTGGTATGATGCAGGCATAAGTTTATCGTTTATCGCATTCAGCGAATAAGACTGAAGATTGCGTCGCGTAGGAAGAAGCGAAGCTATTCGAGTATGCGAATGATGAAGGACTTAGAATCGCAACGTGCATATAGATGACACCGAATGTGTGTATCAAGAGTGTGGTAATACCTCTTGGGTATTACCATGTAAGCGATCGAATTGTATCAGAGATTAGGTGCCAGGATATGTTCATAAACGAATTTGTACCTGTTGAAATTTTGTCAGAAAAGAATCGCTTTGACGATTAGTAAAGCGATGTTATTTGTACTGATAAGATTGCATGCAAATATACTCACGTTTCCTGGTGGCAGAAGGTCCTGGCTATGGCTTCGAATCTTCCTTTGCATCATCTACGTGACTGTATCGGTGGCCCATGTCTATACGTATATTTTCGCCGTTTATTAATGGATTCTCGATACACGTTTGGATTAAATGGGCAACCTCCTCGCAGGTTCCGTAACGTTTAGGTGTAAGGTTCATGGAAATCCCTGTTTTTCTTTCCTCAGGTGTATGCAGGGCTACATGCGAACAGAAATTTGTATACAATTAAAACAGTTTATCAATGACATGTATTTTATTAGTCTATCATGAACAATGTAGTTCTAGATTTCATTTCATATTTAAATAAATAACAATATTATTCTTTTTCATACTCGAAACTTACTATTTACACAAAGATATTATGGTAAAATATTAGGTGAAGTAAAAAGAAATCCATTATTTTTACATTCAATTTCATGCAAAAATAAAGGATTTCTTTTTATAAATACAAATACTGGAATATCCAGGTGGTGGCCAACATTGTTAACTTATTTCACCTAATATTTAATATATTCTAAATATAACAGTAAAGTATATCTTCCTTCATTTCTAATTCAATTGAACTACGTTAACTGAAGGAACAGATATTGCAATACACTACTTGTTAGACCTTACTCGTTAAGAATAGAAATTAATTTTCCTTATTTTGGTTGCTTCCAATGTTTTACTGTATATTTTATGTACGATTATCATTTGACTACCTGACGACCAGGAATGGTTAACATGGGCATAGAGCGAGTTAATAGCAACAAATTTCTGTGCATGCAAGGGATTGATGTACATATAGGTTTACCATTGACACACCTGTCATGGGGCTGTCTATGTAACCAGGGCATATGGTGACGACGCGTATTCCTTTCGATGCGAGTCCCCTGGCCAAAGGTATCGTCATGCCAGAAACCGCGGCTTTCGAACCACCATAGGCGACCAAAATTGGGGGGGCTTCGTACGCCACCATGCTCGAGAGATTTATAATGATTCCTCTTTGCTGATTTACATCGGGTTTGTTTTCCGCCATCATACCGACCATTAAACGAGTCACGTTAAATACGCCCCATACGTTGGTGTCGAACATGCACTTGTACAAGTCCGTGGAATGTGGCTTTTTAGTTTTGAAGTCGTATATTGATTCACAGCCAACAACACCGGCGGAATTAATCAACACATTCACACCACCGAATTTCTCTTTCACGCAGCTCATGCTATCGATTATGTCTTGCTCGATTCTGACCTGCAACACAGATACATTATTATTAAATTAAATTAAATTAATAATTTATTAAATAATTTATCATTATTTTCTATTCTTACAGGCTCGATGCTTTGTTAATCTTAATTTCAAGAAGTCTTAATATCATCTTATGGTTTAGCATTAAATGCATTACTAAAGTTAATATCGTACATTTACATTACTTGTAAATGTAATTCATTTTTGGAAAATATATCTATTTAATATTTGAGTATATACACAACGTTCTTTAGTAATGTACAAACATATCTCCGAAAGAGTTAAGAATAATTACTCATTTCCTAGTATAATTTTATTTGATATAAAGGATAAGTATATTCGCATAAGTGACGATGACAGAAGCAATTTAACTTACATCGGTACACGAAAATAAAGCTTTTTCGCCCATGCTCTCGGCAACTTCAGCTCCATGGCAAGATATATCAGCCAGCACCACCTTGCCACCTTGGCTAAAAATTTTCTCAGCAATGGCCTTGCCGATGCCATTTGCGCCCCCAGTAATGTAAGCAACTATATGCTGAAAACCATAATTAATATTATTCGTTATCACTTTTGTAATAAAATAACATCTCGTACAAAGAAATTCCTAATATTTATTCATATATATTTACTATCTGTATTTCTGCAACTAACTGCAATTTACTAACTTTAAGATCCCAGGTAATTATTTAAATGAAAAACCTAAAGAATTTAAGAAAAAAGAAAAAAAAAATTAAAAGAAGAATATTTCAATATGGACGAATTATTATATAAATATTGAATAATATAACCTGTTTGATTTTATGAAGTAGATTTTACTTTGAAAATATTCCTATATATATATTTTAACGTAAAGAACGGAAAAATAAATTATTCGTATATTTTCTTATGACATATAATGAAAGAGGTTTATTTGATCCTTTTAATTTAAATTTAAATTGAGTAAATTTTGCTACAAAAATTTTTCCCTTCGTGCATTGCAGTTTATTCCTAAATATTTAAACAATGTTGCAGAAATTTAACAAGGATCTACTTTACAGGTCTGAGCCCGAGGTGTAGAGAAGGAGATTATTCTAATATCACCTGCATTTTCCCCATTTTGACATTCCTCGGTTATTACACACCAGGGGGCTGAAATTGGATGTCTCTTGTTCCTTACTTCTTCTCGTTTGGTCTAAGAAGATTTCAAGTTACTCAAGTACTTCGAACATCCTAGAAAAAGGAAAAAGAGAAAAACTTAAAAAATCCGATGAATCGAGTTTCCTCTTACTTCCACTATCCAGATACTTATTTCGCGATGCAATTACTTTCACGAAATTTCTTCAGGCGTACGCCACGATAAATAATGGTTGCCTGGGTTGCAGAAAATTACAACAAAATATAAACTCAGCCAACGTATATTATTTATCGAGTCATACACCTTTCCTCATACCTCTTTATTAATCTCCTGAATGATCAGTCTTTAATAATTTTCGAATAGCCTCGATGACGTTAAGAACGTCTGAACAGATGGCACTCAAAGACGAACAACTGCGAAACAATTTGCATTTGGCATTCAACGTTGTTCACGAGTATAATTACCGGAATGGTGGTCTATGTAAACAATGAAGTTTGCAATTCGCGATACGATTATAATCGAGAAATTATTCTTCCAAGTTCAGGCGACGTATTTTTATTCGTCCAATGAATTATTCGGGAAGAAAGGTTTCGCACGTTAATCCGGAAACTGATTTTTGCCATGCGGAAATTCATCTTTGACGCGTCGATCCGTTAAGGCGGCAACGTCAGCCCGACGATATAACCTAATACTCGACGATTAAATGCAACGGTTGCGATAAGGCTTGTAAATTGAGCGAATTATGCCGCTGGTACCGGTACACGACGTAGCCCCGACCGATTAACATGCGCATTACGCGAGGTCGGAACGCTCAACCTGACATTTGCATTGGAACGTGTCGAACAACCTGAGACCTCTATAACACCTGGTGCCACGGATTACTTGTAACTCTGTTTTATTGATCGTAAACTACATTCTTGAGACACTGTGTGGAATCAGAGACAGGGAACTAGTGAAATTTCCTCGAGGTTCCAATGCAAATACGCGAAAGGGAAGTAGAAAAATTTACAAGTTAAATTTCTCGTATAAGGATCTCTAACCATAAAGAGACTTTATCGAATTTCGTTCGAAATTAATAGACTTGAAGTGATAATTACAACGTGTAACTATGTTCTCTATGTTATAATCAACCCTTGCTTTGTAAGCATGAATTTGACTTAACTAGAACATTTTCTAACTTCACAATTCTTCAATTCCAGTTAAGGATTAATAAAATTGAATAATGGGGATTAGTAAATTCACAGGAGTATAATATTCCTTATATTTTGAATTACCTGGTAAGAAATAATCGATTAAAAAGGAGATACTACAATGGAGCCAGACTGCTGAGAAGTGAAACACGAGCGACGTCTTTCGCGATCGTGGGCATTGAGAAACGTTTAGGGCACACTTCCATCGTGGCGAAGGAAATGAAGGGAGGATGAGTAGAAGAAAGAAGGAGAAATACGAGTACCCTTTGAATCGGTCACGTTAGCGGATCTGCTGGTCGGCCGTCGCGATGGAAGCATTTCGCCTTGATCTCCGACAAATTGTTAGTTCGTATGCTCGACCAATTTCAATCCTCGCTACTTCCAATTTCCTGAGCGTCATTACCGGTGTTCGTAAAGCTCACGTCGAAGACCACGAGAAATCTTACGGTGTTCCACGATAGGAAGAAACCAGTTCCATTCTAACTGCCGTTGGAGCTTCTGCTCGCGACAGTCATCGGCTTTCGTTCTTCCGCCATATCCGCACCTTCCTCACCCTCCTGGACCAATCGTGCCCGCAGCCGGCAATATTCAGGCTGCCGAGCTGCCGAGGACTACTCGCCGCCCACATGCCACGTTTTCCACTGTTGCGTATCGAGCGTGGAGGAGCCTGAACACAGCCTCATACCTGGATCCTTCGTTTTGCACACGGGTGCGAATTCTGGAGAAACCTGGGTTGGAGAAATGAGGCAGTAGCAGGAGGAGAAGGTGGAGGATGAAACGAGGGTGAGGAGGCTGGGTTAGGGGAGAGTGGATGCTGAGGCTGGGACGTGAGTACGGCTGCCGGAATAAGGGGTTGGGGCAGAGGTCGCAGAGGTCGGACACCACGTAAATTGCATACCCGATTGCGGTCTACTGAAGAGTGGCGCCCTCCACTGGGCAACCCCCTCTTCAGACCGTACCAACCCCAAACTGGATCTAACAAGCCAGCAACCACAGACTAGGTTCAGCTTGCAACGGGACTGCCACCTCTAGGGACTGCCGGCGGGTAAAGCCGGTGAACTGTCCCTCATGTCCTGACTGGAAACCCCTGCTTCCTTTCTGTCTCCCGCGCTCAGTCCCTCCATTCCGCCCTCTCTCCTGCCTGTCTTCCTCACCAGTGAAAACCTTCGAACCCATCCAGCCGTCCTAACAAGCCCGTTTACGTTCAGCCTGTAAACCTACTGACGTTACCGTCCTTTACACCGGCGAGACGCTGTTTCTCTGATCGCGACACTCGTGGCTTTCGCTCCAGGACGGATTTATTTGGGGCCTGTGTCAATCCTCAGATCGGTTCACCCATCGATCATGCATTCCAAGTCAAATCTCTGCGTATCGGCATTTAGGATAACCATCGGAAACTTATTAGTAAAAAGCCCAATTTTTATGTACGAAATTATCTACGAAATGGAAGAAATTTCAATAGCAAAAATAAAAGTAACAAAATTATAGGTATATTTCCTGTGCTTTTTATAGAAGCATATTAAAGACGCGAAATTTTCGTGTTTCTTCGGGAGAAAAAGGTGGCGCGAACGTTGTTCTAATCCCCGTACATTTGCAAGACCAGCTTCTATTGTAATCGCTGGATTTCACGGGACCACAATTACTACAATAGCGAGAGGACTTTAACGAGTCGCAACACGGTATAAAGTCAGGCATCACCTCGTTCCTGTTAAAGACAGAAAATCCCTGGCTGCCATTTTCTCGCAGAGTACCAGGGACGCTCTAGTTACCGGACACTCTAATTACCGCTTCTGGATCGTGGTTACAAAAGAAAGCATTTCGTAATAAGTGTCAGTGGCAGATCCAAGTGACAGCTTCGAGCGGTGGAGTTAAATAAAGTACAGTAATCATCGGGTGAGAAGACTAATTGCTAGAAGCAATGCTTCGTTAAGAAGTTTCTTATTATTCCCTGATATTTCTCTGTCATCGAGACACGTGTCAGCTTTAACAGCTACTCCCTTCAACCGATCCTTTGTTCCATTCACCCTTCTATTTCCCTCACGATGCCTGTTATTCGCGCAATTTTCTCCATTTCGCATTAACATATATATATTCAAATTAGCGAAAGATATAAACGCGAAGTAGAGAGACAAAAGTTGCTGGCGCGTAGGAAGAATCCCTGAAACGACGCAGATCCAAGGTATGCGCGAAGTTTTAACCGAATCAATACGTTAATGTATGCTAACCGTGTAGACGGCTTCATGAGGAAAGAATACGCAAGTGGCATTGCGAACTTTCCAAATACTATTAATGTAAAATACCAGAGTTGCCCGAATGATCCCTCGGATTGGCAGTTGGTCGGCCATGGCAACACGCGTGTGTTTCCCCGATGCGTTAGAACTCTCGAAGAATTTGAATACAACCAGCGACTACGTGGCTTCTCCCAAGTCTCTCCGGAGCTTCCGTTAAGACGAAAACTGCCATCATCGAGATGACCCGGATTCCGTGGCAGCGATTCGATTCAATCAATTGGTGGGATACTCGGTTAAATCCTGGCTACGACACGGCCAAGATACCAGATAAATGTTAGTTTTATACGGTATTAACCCGGAGAGCCTTGATCGACGCAGGAAATCGGGCAAGTTTATCTGCTCCTTTTCACAGCCCCTTATCCGGGTCGCTTCGTTTCAATTTGATCGCGGTGTTCGGCAAGCTGCATGCAGACGAGCAGTGAGCCATCGGTTCACGGCGCGATAGTCGTCTCCAGCTATAGCTGCAGGTACTTTGCGAAAGAGGGTTGTGTTTCAGGTGTCGAGGAAGAAAAAGACGCCGGAGATGGAAACAGAGGCCGGGCCAGGTCGTGGCACGGGCGAACGAACCGAGAGGGAAAGAAGCAGGGCTGAAGGAGAAACACACAGAGGGTGCTAAGGTAAGAGGCTGAAGAGCCCATCTGGCTTCCAATCAGAGTGTTGCCACCAGCACATGTGTTCACGGCACGTTGAAGGTGGCGGCTCAATCAACGGGGTGCATCTCTCTTTGGTTCTCCTTCCTTATCCACCCCCTCGCTCTGCCAACTTTATATCACATAATCGAGCTCCGAAGCCGAGAGCTCGCGCTACGTCCCTTTCCTCCACCCCTTACTCTTCCTCCATCTTTTCTCTGACGTTTTTCCTTCTCTGATACCTTCGGCCCGACCTCCTCTTCCTCTTTCAATCCGACGCCTTCTCCTTGTCCCGCCAACGAGGGGGTGAGTTTCCTTCGTCCGCTCTTTCCACTATCTTCCTCCGCTTCCGGCCCGCGTTCTTCACTTTCTTCGACATCACGAAACCCTTCAGGACCCTTTTCAATTCCGGCGAACAACTTTAAGACGCATCAACGGCTTTATCTAACGGTGTTAGCGGCCGGCTGATTAGGGCACTGCCGGCCCGTTGGAAATTTACCGCCTCGAACGGTTATGCAGGAGTAAACGGATCGATCGGAAAGGGATACGATTCGTTACAGGGAACTGTAAATCTGGGAAATTGGTGATATGTAATGCCCATCTAGTATTAGCGTGATGGCAGGCCGGAAATTTTAATTTTACGATACCTGCAGTTCCGTTTGAAGCGTGTAAATCCTGCCATGGACAGGGGGACGTTTATATAGAATATACAGATTAAATGTGAATAAACATAAAGTTACGATAGATGTAACATATAATAATAACAACGATACTGCTTCATTTTCACGTAATCTTTTATACTAATCGTAAAATTATAAGAAAATTCGCTAAATCAATTGTAATTTGAAACAGTTTCGTTATTCGATACAGAAATACGAAAGACTATTTAGTATAAAGTTGTTAAGAGATAAACTCCCATCTAACTTTTAACACGATAATGAATCTTTCGCGTAATACTTCCATTTTAGCCAAAAATACGG